GATAATTATGAATCAGAATGTTTGTATATATCATTATATCTTATTATATTATGGCCCAAAATGCCCCACAGGATCTCTTCTCACCCAATTCCTACTATTATCTCTACTTACAGAAATTAGACTCAAGAATTATTTCTGTAAGTAGAGATAATAGCAGGAATTGGGTCTGAAAAGCAGGTAGAAGGCGGTCGTGGCTCTCCTGTTTGCTCTAGAAGTTAGATAAACATTTGTGCTGAGGGGAAGGGTTGAACATAGATTAAATAAATGTATACAGGAACCTGCTAGGGAACTAACGCTATGAATGCTTAGCACCTGTTGAATCTTCATTTACCACAAACTAAGGAAGCCTATTCTGAGGTAAAATTCTGAAGGTTCTTACCACTCAGATATGTGGTGCACAAATCTAACACTGTACTATAGTGGCCAGAATCCTATTGGTATTCATGTAAAGTTGGTTAAATACAGCTAATTGACAAGGCACCTGGACTCACCATGGTTAGGTATTCAGGCTTGTGGCAAGACACATGACCAAGCTGCACTCCAGGACTTAACCAGTTAGCTGCAATTAGCTGTGGCAAGTTACACACACCTTACATGAACAACAAGAAGATTCTGTCCAATAGGTGTACATGCATATGTATCTTTTCGTGGTGTTTCTGTTCTTCTTAGTTGCAGTTTGTCCTTGACATGCTGATTAAATGAAAAGTTTCATTTATTTAATTTTTGCCTGTCTTGCATATGAGCTTTACCAGAAAGATGGTGAGCTATAAATGTATCTATATTATCTGTTTCATTTATTTAATTTTTGCCTGTCTTGCATATGAGCTTTACCAGAAAGATGGTGAGCTATAAATGTATCTATATTATCTTTTAAAAATACTGGCTTGCTGGAGATGAACACTGTCTTTGCTACACACCATCTGATTTATCCCACTGCAACCATGAATTGGTCACTTCTCATCTGTACTTTACTTACCATATCCAAACCTGTTGTTTCCTTCCTGACTAGCCAAAGGACCTGGACATAATAAGAAACCTTGTGTGTTGAGCTGGTCCTGCTGTTAGTGACATCCACCAGAAACCTACCATATCCCTAAGAAACCAGTGTTCTAACAAATTCGGGGTTAATCCTAAATGCAGCCTCTGATTTCCAGTTTCAACATTCAAAAGCTAAATTCTCCATTAACCATGTTTTCTCTCTTTTTGCAGAGCAGAGGAAGAAATATTCCAACATCATAATGGCAGATGTGTCCCAGTATGCTGTCCATGTAGGTTTTCACCAACATTTAATTTTGAGGGATACTCAAGTGGGAACAGGTGCCAAAACTTCAGGGCATGGAAATTTTCTTTTTAAAGACTGCAAATCACAGAATCCCCAAGCCAGCAGACATATTGGCTGTGCTGAGTGAAAGAATCTCAGCATGAGAGCCAAAAACATCCAACAACTTTTCAAACTACGTATACTTTTTTTGTGTAAGGGGCGGTGATGGGGAGAGGTGTTTGGAGGTTGTTTCCAAACTGTTTTGAATTTAGAGGAAAGTGCTCCATATCTGACTGGAAAACTCTATGTGTCACTGTGAATTTTGGGGACAGTTCCACAGTGGTAATTTACCTTTACACACACATTACTACACTCTCTGATCAAGGGGCTTCCCTCTCAGTCCTAAGCTACAAGCTGGTGCTCACATCTGTGCTATAGTGACTTACTTACTTATTATACATGTCTATCTTTTTATACCTGGTTTTCTTTCTCTTACTCCCTCCCTCTTTCATTTATCATTAAAACAGTCAACAACTTGGCCACCTTCCAAACCAAAGCAATTACATAGTGTGTCCTGCACTGAGGTTGGCTTGTAGCCCATTTTAGGGAGGTTCCGAGAGAATCGCCTTAGTAATGCAGGATACTGCCTAGGACTATTACGTAATTATTTGAAACCTTTTGGAGCTTGGTGGGGTCAATTCTGACTTATGGTGACTCTTTTCAGGGAGAGAACATGAAGACATGGGTCACCATTCCCTTCTTTTGGGACTTTTTAGCTTGCTTGAGGCCACACAGGCTGCCTCTACTCACAGAGGGGAATCAGACAACAAATCTCTGATTCCACAGCCAAATACCTAAACCACTGAGCTATCCAGCCAGGGGTTTTCTAGAATACTCTTTGTTTAAACAGTAAAAAATTAGCAATATAAACTCACAGTAAAATGAAAAACAGAAGTTGGAGTCACAGCTTGGGGAGGGATGGGGGCCAGGGATCAATATAAGCTAAAACAGAGCAGCAAGGATACAACCTGGCTGACCTCTTGAACGTTCAGTCAGGAAGGCCAAGAAAGATGAAAATGTGTTTGCTTGGAACCAAAGTCAATACAGATAGCGCAAGACGAGTGTCACTGAGGAAGGCACCTAGAAAGGTTGCTGTGACTTAAAAAGCCCATTGATGCCCACCACCTGTAAAACTTCAGCTGGTTGCCAGATCGTTTTATAACCATTTATTTTTCCTTCCTTCCGATTGCTGCACATATAAGGCAAGCTCAATAAAAAACAATGTCTGTTTCTCAGGAAACATTGTCCTTCATCACTTACCTCCTTATTAAAACATGCTTAGTTAGCTTCTAAGTTTCCTTCATAAATGTTTGCAAAGAATGAAAGAGACTGAGAGAAAGTAAGTAAGGGATACATGTCTCCATAACTTTCTTCCTCCTCTGTTCTTCAGCACTTGGTGACTTTCTCCATCGGAGAAGAGGACGACTTGGCATCTGTGGAGGATGCCACCAGGAAACTGTCCATCATGGATGCCCAAGGGAAGATCTGGGTTCAGGAAATGTTGCTTCAAGTCAATGGCTCGGCCGTCAAACTCCTTGACGTAAACTCAAAGGTAGAAATGCACATAAGAACTGGAGTACCTGGAGGCTAGTAAGAATTTTAAAAGGGGATGTTTGTCTAGAGCAGTGGTTCTTAAAATGGGGTCCCCAGATGTTCTTGGACTGCAGTTCGCAGAAGCCTTCACCACTTGCTGTGCTGGGCAGGATTTCTGGGAGTTGCAGTCCAAGAACATCTGGGGAACTCAAGTTTGAGAACGACTGGTCTAGAGTCCTGTGTCCTAATTCCTCGTCTTTATCGAGGCTCCGAATGGATGGTTTAAAGTGGCATTTGGTGACTTTGTCTCCCCCTACAGGAGGAGCTGGAGAACTATGGACTAGCAGCTGTTCTTCGCTGTGAGGCTGTCAGACCTGAGTCACGGACGCAACCCTTGCTTCTTCTTGTGTGCCAGGAACCCAGTCAGCTCAAACCCGATGTCCACTTCTTTGAGTGTGACCATGCCGGGGTAAGGAAACCTAGACATTGTTTGGGAAATGATCCTATGGTGTTCTTATGTTCGATGTTTTGTCAGCTATGGGAAACTAACCTTAAGCGTTTTTGAGGCATGTGCGTGTGAGAGATGAGTTTTTAATCTGATTTCTCCTCTGTTTTCTAGGCAGAACTGATTCAGCAGGATATTAACAGTGCTTTGCTGGACTTCAAGTCAGGGGGAAATGCCAAGCGGAAGGAATTACTCAGGTGAATTAGCCAGCAGCCCCACCTGCATGGAGTCAAAGGGGCAGGAAAGCATATGGGAGCCAAAGTAAATGTTGATCACAAGCAAAAAAATATATACTTAAATCCCAGTGATTGTATCATTTAAGTAGATGTAGCTATAAAGAAGAACAGTTTCAATGGACTCCTGGATCCAGCCCTCAGCCTGAAGGCCAGTGACAAGGAATGAATTTGCACATCTGAGGCTAGTTTATTAACCATGCCAATTCCTGGATATACCTGATGAGACCACGGTGATGCATACTTACATCCTGTTCGTAGATCATTCTGATGTGCTATACATGCAGATGTTTTCACAGGGAGCAATCTTGAAATTGCAGCTGGCCCACCATATTGCAGTCATACTGTTGACTAGGGCCAGTTATAGGAAACACACAACTTTCTTGTTACAATATATATCTTTAGTAGCTACTGATCTGGGCACAGTTTAATTAATCAGAAGTGCTAATTATGACCTATAAAGCCCTCTCTGACTGGAGGCCTGGTTATCTGAAGGGCTCTATTCTCTTGTACATGTCTGTTTGGGCTTTGAAATCTTTGAGGGGGAGCCTTTTTCTTAAAATTCTGGAAGCTCAGACTCCTTATGACCTCTTATGGAGGTCATCCAGTCAACAGAAAATGTGGGGGTTTGTGTTGGAGTTTCATCCTTGGAATAATGGTGTGGTGTTTTTTTTTTTTAAGCCATGCTTTTGAGAGCAAATTAACCTACAGGTTTTTAAATTAAACAGGCGAAGGGATGCCTGTCATGGGAAAAAGTTACTGTCTGTCTCATAATTCAAAAAGGCTGTCAAAAGTTCGTCCTATCTGCCTCACTGCCTGCTTCTAAAGGCATGCCATTATGTCCAGATTTTTTAAAAAGCCACCGGATTCTTCTCAGGTAGTGAGAATCAAGATTTTTCTCTTGTCTGGATGAAGGTTGTAAAGATCTAGAACAGCCTGTACTGCATGACAGGATGTGTCCTTCATTCATTCCTTGGCTCAGCCTCTTGTTTCATATCTCACCTCTACAGAGCTAACCAGACAGAAAAAGCTCAGGACACATCCCGGCAGCTTCCTAAAAAGGTACCTTCCAGGACAAAGATCATCGTACCAGCACAAACAAATAAGGGTGAGATTCTAGGGACCATGATTTTCAGTCCAGGCCTGCTGCAATACATCCCTTAGGCAGGAGTGCCTTTGGGGACTGGTGTAGCAGAAAATCCCTATGTAGGTGCCAGACTTTTGGCATCTCCGGATAATAAAATGAATGAACGAACAAACAATTGATCTAACTCAGATCAAACTCTGTATGATCACGGAAGCTTGACTAGCTTCAGGGGTTAATGGAATTGTGAAAGACCTACTCTTGAAGGGAAAAAAGTACGTGGGACATTGCATCTCTCTGCATCTTGTCCCCCTCATGGAGAAGAACGCAAGAAATCTGACTTCATTTTCTATTTAGGTTGCAAAAAGAACAAATTTTTTTAAAAAATCTGGGGATTTTGTCTGTACTTTAGTCTCTTAATATCTCTGCAAACATAGGACTTTTTATTCAACTCTTCTTCCTCTTTTCCCATGAGGGGAAATAAAAGCCATCCATGCTATAGGAGGCCAAAGCAGAGATCAAGGGGTGGTATAAGGGGAAGAGGGGAAAAAGAAACCATGACTACATCATCATTTCCTGCCATGGGGTTTTTAGGGGCAGATATAATTTCTGGGTTATAGTATGGAAGGGAAAAAAAGCATGTGGAACATTGCATCTCTCTGCATCTCGTCCCCCTCATGGAGAAGAATGCAAGAAACCTTACTCCATTTTCTATTTAAGTTGCAAAAAGAATAAAAACTTAAAAAAATCTGGGGATTTTGCCTGTAGTCTCTTAACATCTCTGCAAACATAGGTCTTCTTATTCAACTCTTCTTCCTTCTTCCTCTTTTCCAATGAGGGGAAATAAAAACCATCCATGGCTCATATATATATGAGGCCAAAGCAGAGATCGAGGGGTGGGATAAGGGGAAGAGGAAAAAAAGAAACCATGACTACATCATCATTTCCTGCCATGGGGTTTTTAGGGGCAGATATAATTTCTGGGTTATAGTATGGTTAACAATGCACTAAACTCATGATCTTTTTTATTTGCAGACATCTTGGCAGGCAAACCTGACTTGACTTTCATCCACGTTGAGCAAGATGTGGTGAGTTAACTGGTGGGGAATGACAAATCAAATGGCTTTAAAATCAGGTTAGGTTTATTCAAGGTCGAAGTTATTGCCAAGGGGCATTTGTCCATATCACATTTGTACATGCTGAATGGGGACGGCTACCATTTTGTTCCTGACATACCATCTGTGCCATCAAAAACTGCAAGGAGCCAATGCTGGTATGGGATGAGTTATACCTGTTGTTTTTCTACCTGTTGACAGCAATTCAAGGTTGCTCCTTGGCATATCTGGATATATTTTCAAAAAGCCCAACTCCAAAAATAAATTTCACATTCATTCTTGACATGTAAATGCCAGTGGATCTGCTGGGAATTCACAGCTGGGTAGTCTAGTTTTCCTGCGTTAATTTGCTTCAGCTGAACATAGGAGTCAGCAAAGAGAGGGAGGAAATCAGCCTTGATTGCAGCTTGTTAACTATCTGAATCCTTTCCTTCCCACTCCTGCTACTTGGGTCTGCTCCTTCCTTCGTGCATTCCTTTTAAGGACTTTCTGTATGAATGTTAGGCCAGATAGGTGACCAAAGAGAAAAAAAAAGAAAGGATTGGCAGAGAGAAAGTCACAGAACCCATTGGTTGTTCCTTGGCATATCTGGATATATTTTCAAAAAGCCCAACTCCAAAAATAAATTTCACATTCATTCTTGACATGTAAATGCCAGTGGATCTGCTGGGAATTCACAGCTGGGTAGTCTAGTTTTCCTGCGTTAATTTGCTTCAGCTGAACATAGGAGTCAGCAAAGAGAGGGAGGAAATCAGCCTTGTTTGCAGCTTGTTAACTATCTGAATCCTTTCCTTCCCACTCCTGCTACTTGGGTCTGCTCCTTCCTTCGTGCATTCCTTTTAAGGACTTTCTGTATGAATGTTAGGCCAGATAGGTGACCAAAGAGAAAAAAAAAGAAAGGATTGGCAGAGAGAAAGTAGAAAGTTTTCACTTCAGTTTTGTTTCTAGTTTCTCAAGGTAGCTCTGTGCTCCTCTGGCTGTCCAGATTTGCAGGAGGCAGTTAGAGTGGAGCTCCCTTTTTCTCCCTTTGGTCTCTCAGCTGACCCAGCAATAGATGGATGGAGGGATAGATGGATGGAAGGAACAGACAGACAGACAGACAAGCAAGCAAGCAAGCAAGCAAGCAAGCAAGCAAGCAAGCAAGCAAGCAAGCAAGCAAGCAAGCAAGCAAGCAAGCAAGCAGCATGGGAAGCAAAAAGAAGAGGAAAGCAGACCCAAGCATTAGGTGTGGGGCAGAGAGGATTCCAACAGCAGTTTCCCCACTACCTTCCCAATCTCACTGCAGTTTGAGCTGTCCAGAATGGCTTTAACTACAATGGCTTTAACTTCCACTGTAATGCGCTCTGCGTGGAGCTTCCTTTGAGGCTGATGCGGAAACTTGAGGTGGTGCAGAATGCGAAGGCCAGATTACTCAGTGGAGTGAGAAAATTCCAACATATCTCGCCCACTCTAGCCGCATTGCATTGGCTGCCCATCCAATTCCACATCGACTTCAAAATGTTGGCGCTGCAAGCAAGCAAGCAAGCAAGCAAGCAAGCAAGCAAGCAAAATGGGAAGCAAAAAGAAGAGGAAAGCAGACCCAAGCATTAGGTGTGGGGCAGAGAGGATTCCAACAGCAGTTTCCCCACTACCTTCCCAATCTCACTGCAGTTTGAGCTGTCCTGTCCAGAATTAACTACAATGGCTTTAACTTCCACTGTAACGCGCTCTACGTGGAGCTTCCTTTGAGGCTGCTGCAGAAACTACAGGTGGTGCAGAATGCGGTGGCCAGATTACTCAGTGGAGTGAGAAAATTCCAACATATCTCGCCCACTCTGGCCGCATTGCATTGGCTGCCCATCCGATTCCACATCGACTTCAAAGTGTTGACGCTTACGTACCAAGCCCTAAACGGTTTAGGGCCTCGATATCTGGCAGAACGCCTTCTCCCACCAAGTTCTACCCGTGTCACTCGAGCGAGCCAGGAGGTGAGGCTGAGGAGCCTAACACCGAGGGAGGTCCAGAAGGAGAAGACAAGAAATCGGGCCTTCTCGGGAGTGGCTCCTCGCCTCTGGAACAATCTACCTCCTGGGATTGGCGGGGCTCCCTCACTGGGTATCTTTAAGAAGCAGTTAAAGACATGGCTGTTTTGGCAGGCCTTTCCTCCAGACAATCCCTGATTCTCCTTTTCTTTTCCTCTCTATTTGGTTTCTATCTTTCTAAGTTTTTATTATTTGCTGTTTTATATATGTATATTTTAATTATTTGATGATTTTAGCAGCCTAGTGTGGCCCTGAGTTGGCTAGATAGGCGGGATATAAATGAATGAATGAATGAATGAATGAATGAATGAATGAATGAATGAATGAATGAATAAATAAATAAATAAATAAATAACTAAATAAATAAATAATGAATGAATGAATGAATGAATGAATGAATGAATAAATAAATAAATAAATAAATAAATAAATAAATAAATAAATAAATAAATAAATAAATAAATGGTTGCAAACCCTTTCATATTGGCTCAAGCAATCGATCACACCATTTGAACTGATGTGAAGGCATTAAGTTCCAAAAAAGTAGAAGCCCCAACAGCACAGGAAAAAGTACAGATTTGGCTGAGGGACTCTGGGCTGATACACATTGATTTTTATTTCATGTAGTGACATCACGGAAAATAATGCAAATCATACCATCCCAATCCTGGAGGATTTCTGACGTTATTTGTCAATGTAGTCACACCCTCAGTCACCTCTCAACAATGTTGATTTGTTTCATTAGTGGACTATGACTAATGTCTGCTTCTGACCTTTGTCTTCTCATTCAGAGAATGGATGGCAGGTTTTGTCCACTCAAAGGGTTGATCAAGAAAAGTGGAAATGTGCCTAATTACATCCTTCTTGCTCCCTACTGCCCCCTGTCCTGGCATGTGTTTTAGGTAGCAGTGAGGGCTTTTGGACAACACTAGATCAAGGGCCTTTTTACAACGTTATTTTATTTCTTTTCCTTGTTTATTCTATTTGGAGTGGTGAGGCGAGAACAAATGAGAATAAATACATAATTATAATACACTGAGCCTATACAGATGATAAATCACCATTTCCCATAATGATAAATCAGCTGCACATAAGTATCGTGCATAAATATATACGGTGTCTATAAACTCTTGCTCCACACATTGTGACTGCAGTCCTAGACACATTTACCAAGAAATGAATGCCACAGTGTTTACTTCAGAGTAGATATATAAGGACTATAATGTTAAGTCTCGCTGAATGGTTGTCACATGGGCATGATCCTGATATACTGGATAATCTGAATCTTATCTCTTTCTCTCTCTGTGTCTGAATGTGACAGGAACTGTTGAACCATGTTTTTGATGATATAGAAGCCTTTGTAGGGAAGCTGCAGAAATGTGCTGAAGCTTTCCGTGTGCTGGCTCACCGCAAGCGCTCCGCAAGAGGGCGCCTCCGACAACCAGGAGGTGAGAACTGGGTACAGGCCTACTCCAGGAGGCTATACAACTGAGAAACAGAGATATACCCATCTAGGGTACAGGTCTAACAACTAGGCGTGAATTCTTCCTCAATCACAATCTGGCATCAAGTTCTAGTTCTACCCTCAGATCAATTCTAGAATTTACCAGAATCTTCTAGAAGGTTCCATTATGGCTTTGAAAGATTTCCAGGCATAATAATTTTTCAGATTCACACGGCCTTATATGTATACTGGTATAGCTTAATAAAATGGCCAGGATTGCTAAAGAACTGTGAGAGGTCTTTTTGTTTCATTCCCCCCCCCCCTTGTGCTATGCGTTGAAACATCGATGCCACTGGAACCCAGCAGCAAAGCCTTCAGAATCCTAAGTGGATTCCAGTCTGAGAAGTGGGATTCCAGCAGATCTTCTTACAGCTTTCACTTTGTTTCTCATACAAATATCCTCTAATGACAGGGTATCGTATGAGGACTGGCCTGAATAGTCACAAGCAGCTCTTGCACCTGCATGGAAAATTGCCACCTTCTCAGCTAGCACAAATAGGTCATCTACAATCCGGAACAGATTCTGGACTGTGAGGCAGGATCTCTTCAGCAGCTTGCAGGAATAGCCCATTTCACTATTGTTTTCTTTTTCAGAGGGACTCCTGACTATTCGAGCTCGACCTCCTAGCCAGGAGGAGTTTGAAGACACTTTGGCTAAGATCAAATATTCCTTCAGCCTTCTGGTAGGTGTCGAGTGCACTTCCCCCACACACAAAAAAGCAGACATCCGCTTGTCTCATGGTAACAACTGAGTTCTATTTTTTTGACCTACCATCCAGGCAAGGCTGAAGTCTAACATCACAAATCCGACCTCAGAAGAGCTGATACATTTCCTCTTTAATCCACTGAAGATGGTAAGTGGTGTGTTGAAGGTACACTGTAGAAGTAGGGGGTCCTGGGCAGCTGTTCGAGTTGTGGCATGTGACACCATAAGTCACATCCAATTTATAGGAAACCTAAGAGGATTTTCAAGATAGGTGAGATAGTTAAGGAGTGATTTTCCATGACCAAGTAGGGATTTCTCTATCCACTGCACCATACTGGGTACCCTTCTGTCTCGACATCCCAGTAAAACAGATATTGGAAGATAATTAAGGAGTGATTTTACTAGTGCAACCACCTCCAAAGTGAGTTTCCATGACCAAGTAGGGATTTCTCTATCCACTGCACCATACTGGGTACCCTTCTGTCTCGACATCCAAGTAAAACAGATATTGGAAAAAATCTAATTTGCAGGATACCCAATATCCCCATTGCAGCCCTGACAAAGGCCAAAGGAAGTCAGCAGGAAATCTGACAGCAGATAATTGACAGTTGCATGCCCAGAGGTCAGCTGGCATGGCCAAAGTACAACTGGACCAACAGTCAAAGGCTAAAACACCATCAGGGTAGTAAAGGGACCTCCCAAAAGAGCCTTAGCAAGACATCCATATTGGCAACTCCTGATCTATATACTGTAATGTCTCAGTGTGACTTGCTAAGCTGGACTCATCACAAGATTGGAGGCAGCCACTGTAGATCTGATGCACCAGTGCAGGAGCCTCAGTTTGACAATCCAGTTTGGTGTAACCATTCAAGATGGAAGCTGCTGATCTAGAACTGATCTATCTTCTTCAGACAAGTGTAAGGCAAACAAGAACTGAGTATTTAAACAAGCAGCAAAGTGACAGACTATAGTGTCTCCTGAGTTGTGTCACTGCTGATCCAGAACTGATCTACCTTCTTCAGACCAGTGTAAGGCAACAAGAACAGATTATTTAAACTGGTAGCAAAGTTACAGACTATAGTGTCTCCTGAGTTGTGTCATTTAGATGGCAGATGTGGATAGAAGCATACCAGGTGGGGGGGTTCCGATTTCTCGCACCCAGAAAACTAGTGTGTCAATGGGAAGGCTGGCCTGGCAGACAGAACTGATCTACCTTCTTCAGACCAGTGTAAGGCAACAAGAACAGATTATTTAAACTGGTAGCAAAGTTACAGACTATAGTGTCTCCTGAGTTGTGTCATTTAGATGGCAGATGTGGATAGAAGCATACCAGGTGGGGGGGTTCCGATTTCTCGCACCCAGAAAACTAGTGTGTCAATGGGAAGGCTGGCCTGGCAGACTTTTTCTTGGCAGGCTAGATCACTATATGCAAGGAGAGGTCTTCTTCTCAAGGAGCATTTAATGATATGATTCCTTGAGTTGTAGAACCATGTAGTATTATCCATTAAAATCTGGTACCATGTGGCTCTTCTCTCTCTATCAAATGATTCTAAGAGATGTGAGGAAATGCTGGCAGGCTAGATCACTGTATGCAAGGAGAGGTCTTCCTCTCAAGGAGCATTCAATGATATGATTCCTTGAATTGTAGAACCATGTAGTACTATCATTAAAATCTGGTACCATGTGATTCAAATGATTCTAAGAGATGTGAGGAAATGCAAGTTGCTTGGAGAACCAAGTGTTCTGGGTTTGAATTTGTTAATCCCATTTCAGATTGTGGAGTCTTCCGGGGGACCAGAGTTTGCTTCTGAGGTGCGCAATCCCATGCTGACTTTGGAGGCAGTGACACTGATGCGAGGCTGCTTAGGGGAACAGGAGGCTGAGCTGTGGCATTCACTGGGTGACAACTGGATCAGGCCAAGGTAGGGGGAAGGAAGGGTCTTGGGCTATTATCTTGGCTTTTTTTCCTCATTTTTATCCCTCTATAGTAATAGGATAGTCTTTAAAACAAACTTCTTGCAAGCTTGGTGATCTGATCCTAAGAGCGAAGTACTGAATAGGTCACTGTGCCAAAAGTGGCTCACAGCATCAATTTTAAAAAAGGATATTTTAATTTGAATTCTAAGATCTTTGTCATGCTTTTGGCAAATTAAACCTCCTCCTAATGGCTCAGCATTGATCCGCTTGATGTAAATTAATCGGGTGGTTTAGAAACTTTACTCAGAAACATGCAGGTGAACTCTGCAATTGCAGTATGTGACAGAAGGATCCCATAATTTCATCTAATTATTGCAATGTCATTCTTTTCTCCCATTTGTGTCTCGGCTCCCTCTATTACTTGCCCTTCCTTGGCCACCCAGATTGGACTTCCCCAGGGATTATGCAGCCCCCTACACCCCTACTTTCCGGAGTCGCTGGGAGCCCCTCCGCCTGGACGTTTCTGGGCAACCTTGGGAAGATCCTGTGGAGTTACAACACCGGCATGAGGAACGCCGTGCCCAGGTGAGGGTTGATGGGGAGCGTAGGCAGGGCAAACAGATGCAAACCTCCACTGAAGGCAAATGGACCTATGGCAAAATTTCCATTATTCTTTGGTTCTTTTTCCCCTGCAACAAATAGCATGGCTTACTTAAAGAAACTCTTGGTGTACTTTCAACTAAGACGGTGCTGTTTGATTCCTCAAACACTGGCTTCAGTCCATTTGTTCCCTTGTTTTTGTTTTTGTTTATTTGGCAATAATAAGTAATAAGAATGTAGTGAAATCAATTGTATGAAAAAGTATGAACAAGCTGTTGGATTTGGCAGGTTCTGCTCCTTGCAAAAGTTTGATCTTTACTTACTGGGCCTTTCTCAGGAAAAATAATAAGTATCTCCCCAAACTAGAAATCCTAGGATTCATAGAATGGCACCAGAGCAGTTGTAGGAATATCCAACCATTATAGTGGTATCCATCAAATATGGGCAAACTCTGTGTGTGTGTGTGTGTGTGCGTGCGTTTATCAGCCATCACATTTGTGTCTCAGCCCTTCTTCAAAGGCTCGCTTATAGGGCGAAAGGCAGCAAATACCTACCTACCTACCTACCTACCTACCTACCTACCTACCTACCTACCTACCTACCTACCTACCTAGAGCTCAAATGGCATCCAAAAGTCTCTCTTCCACTTATGCCCTGACCTACTTCAAATGACTTTTGAGTATGTAACAGCTTTCTATGTTGAGTGCGAGCAGAGGTTCACTTAACCCATCATGCTGTACCTAATTAGATGCTTCTAGGAAACTCCCAAAGTAGGAAAGACGAAAACCCCAAACCCAATAACTAGTTTGCTGTCATACCACTAATAGAGCCTTTGCCCTAAATGTGTCTAATACTACTAGAACAATACTACTAGATACTGGTCTACTTCATAGCTTCTGGTAACAAAGTCCATATATAAATTAGATTTGGCTAAAATTTCCAGGGAAGTTTCAGGATGTGAATCTGGGTTCACTAATCAACATTTGACATCCTTGACAGTACATCAAAATTGATCTCAGTGTTCACTCTGGTTAGTAAGCCAGTGCTAGAGTACATCTAGGACTGGAGTGAGCAATTTGTCAAGATGTTGTTGGACTACAACTCCCATCAGCCCTAGGCAGAATAGACAGTGGAGATGAGTTATGGGAGTTACCATCCAACAACATCTGGAGGTGCCCAACTCTGATCTAGAGGCTGTTTGTGACTTTGACCAATATGACCTACTGCTAATTAGTTGCGGGTGAGAAGTGGGAAGGACACAGCCTTGAATGCAATATTAAACTAAGTTATCTGTAGGGTATTGATCATTAATTATTTCTCATTTCCTTCCCTTCCCATTTTTTTAAATTTTTAACAGCAATCAGCTGCCACCATTGCAGCCAATGGGTAAGTCTCTCTCTAGATTTCATACTATTGATTGGCATTTGGGGATGTATTGGATGTGGGGTGTCTCAGGAGATGAAGAGAAGGTGGAAAAGAATTGTGGAAGTTAGGGTCTGAGAGACCGTGAGAAAGGAGAGGTGGGGAGTGGACTTTGAGAGATGAGAAAGCACTGGCAAAGTCAGAGGCTTGCGAAGTTGCTCCCCCCCTTTTTTTTAAAGTAATAGAAATATTTTTCACAGATTTCAGAATCTGACAGGTGCTATCCCTTTCCTGCCTCACAGCACTAGGGGTCAGAGAACATCAGCTGTTCATACAGGGCTGCTGCTTTTACTGGCTCAAGTCCAAGCGTCTCCCACACTTATCTACCTAAAAAAAATACATGTGTACACTTTCTGGACCCCTTGAAGAGAGAGGGGGGAAAAACACCTTTAAAATAACTGTTTTACAATAGAAAATACCTGCAAAAGGTGCAAGAATCCCAATATTGCAGGAAGGGGTTTATGGAGATATAAAATGCAATTTATATTGAACTGAACCACTGATCTTTTCTGGCTCAGTGTATGTATTCTCGTAAATGGCAGCATCCCTCCCAATTCAACCCTGCTGTATGAAAACCTTTTAGGAGAAGAAAGCAGTGGTTAAAGTTGGGACTTTCTTTATATGCAGAACATATACTCCTGCCCTACCAAGTGGTGGCCTCTCCTCTTTAAAAGATGGAAGCCATTCCACTCCAGCTTCTGGCACAGCAGGTGGAGGGATTTGGAGCCACTGGACCATCAGCTCCAGCAGAAGGCAATTCCTCCTGCAAAGCCACCACAGAGGCTGTTGCTTAGTAATGCTCAGCTAGCACTGACATAGGATCCTCAATCCAGGCAATGGCTGATAGCATTGGAGTCATGTTGTGCATGAAACATTCACAGTACTTGACCCACCACAGGGGCCGGGCAGGGATTCTGACTATAGGAGGTCCTAATACTGCAGGGCTCCTAATGAGACTTTTAGAGGAGGGGATGAGGTTGGGCCAAATTTGTTTATGAAAAATATTGGGCTATAGTGAAAATTATTGAGTGGGATGGGGAAGGGCCGTCCTTGGGCAGGGGTCAACCATGGGGTCATTTGTTAATGGGAAACTCACATCAACTCTGCATTGCTTCCCCCCCCCCCTTGAATTTTTTCCTGTTTTCTCTCTGTCTTTTTGCTCTGAGAACAGCTGGGTCCGGTGGTGAGGTCAGTGATAAGTGTTAAAGAGTGAGGTGGTGGGATGCCAGGGGCAAGCTGGGGAAGGGTGGTGGTTTGCTAAAGAAACAGGGGTGGGGTCCTGGTGTGAGGGAGAAAAGGGGTGCTTAGAGTAGTGTTGAGAATTTTGATTATAACATGTATTCTCGTAACATTAGCAGAGTAAGGAGATATTGGTTAGCAGAGATACTTAACGACACTATGACACTGAGAGAGTAAAACCAACAAATTAGTCTATTTACATATATAAATGGAGAATGGACATTCTCTGGCAGTATAACATGACATGAAGCACCACACAGCATAGGAAAAAGTGATCTGACTTACAGCAGATAAAGACGTTCATTTTATACACATGACTTATGTACAGTTCTGTGACCAATCAGAAAATACATTACTTCATTTTCTGTTACACAATGTTTCATCATGTACACAGCTGTACAACATTAAGTCCTAATCCTTGATACCCACACCTGAATACAATCAGTACAGTGTCTCAGGTAAAATCAGCCATTTTACATTTAACATTTAATACATTTTCATATCAAAATCTCAACACCAGCCTTTTGCTACGGAACAAAGACATTAACAATATTACTTGGAATCCAAACCCACAAGCTTTTGTGCTAGGTAATCCCTTACTCATCATCACATCAAACGATGAGAACCTCTGAAGGTGGAAATTCACAGTTGCTATACAATTCCAAATCAGAACTTTCATGTTTCATCTATTTTTAAGAATAATGTTCTTAGTCCTCAGTTCTGGGGGAAACTACTATTTTAAAATAGTACATATATTAAGAAGTCATTGAAGAATATACAGTATTCAGATCTATGGATGTATGGACTCTGACATAGCTTCTGGAAGTTGTTGACATTCCTCCATATTCCCATGCTTCTGTAAATCCATGGTCCATAATGCCCCATGAGAATTAATCCTTGTCCAGAATTTTAAAAAGCTACTGCAGACAGAAAGGAAATAATCTAGCCTCTTAATCTCAAACCAAATATTGTGCATTTAATCTATTCTGTAGCACTCTTTAATTGAGTGGGTTTGTCCTTACAATCATCCTGGGATGGCAGACAAGATGAGTGGGTAGATTTACACTGCAAACCCTATTTTAACAATTATGGTATATGCTAAATAATACTAAAAAAACTGGGACGTGGTGGCACTGTGGGCTAAACCGCAGAAGCCTTTGTGTGTTGCAGGGTCAGAAGACCAGCAGTCATAAGATCGAACCCACTTTGTCCCAGCTCTTTGCCAACCTAGCAGTTCAAAAGCATGTAAATGCAAGTAGATAAATAAGTACCACCTCGGTGGGAAGGTAAACAGCGTTCCGGGTCTAAGTCACGCTGGCCATGTGACAATGGAAACTGTCTTCAGACAAACACTGGCTCTACGGCTTGGAAACAGGGATGAGCACCGCCCCCTAGAGTCGAACACGACTGACTAAAATGTCAAGGGGAACCTTTACCTTTACTAAAAAAAAGTAGTTTGATGAGGGGAGTGAGAATTGTTAGTGATCCCTAATTTATCGTTTGCTTCACAGCATTCTAGAGGAAGGAAATTATATAGTATAGATTTAGTATAGATGTGCTGGATTATGGAGAAAGCTAGAGAGTTCCAGAAAAACATCTACTTGTGCTTCATTGACTATGCAAAAGCCTTTGACTGTGTGGACCACAACAAACTATGGCAAGTCCTTAAAGAAATGGGACTGCCTGACCACCTTATCTATCTCCTGAGAAATCTATATGTGGGACAGGAAGCAACAGTTAGAACTGGATATGAACAACTGATTGGTTCAAAATTGGGAAAGGAGTATGACAAGGCTGTATATAGTACCCCTGCTTATTTAACTTATATGCAGAATACATCATGTGAAAGGCTGGACAGGATGAATCCCAAACTGGAATTAAGATTGCCAGAAGAAATATCAACAACCTCAGATATGCAGATGATTTCACTCTGATGGCAGAAAGTGAGGAGGAATTAAAGAACCTTGTAATGAGGGTGAAAGAGGAGAGTGTAAAAAATGGTCTGAAGGTCAACATCAAAAAAACTAAGATCATGGCCACTGGTCCCATCACCTCCTGGCAAATAGAAGGGGAAGATATGGAGGCAGTGACAGATTTTACTTTCTTGGGCTCCATGATCACTGCAGATGGGGACAGCAGGCACGAAATTAAAAGATGCCTGCTTCTTGGGAGGAAAGCAATGACAATCCTAGACAGCATCTTAAAAAGCAGAGACCTCACCTTGCCGACAAAGATCCGCATAATCAAAGCTCTGGTTTTTCCAATAGTGATGAATGGAAGTGAGAGTTGGACCATAAAGAAGGCTGACTGACAAAGAATTTATGTTTTTGAATTGTTGTGCTGGAGGAGGCTCTTGAGAGTCCCCTGGACTGCAAGGAGAACGAACCTATCCATTTTAAAGGAAATCAACCCTGAGTGTTCACTGGAAGGACAGATCCTGAAGCTGAGGCTCCAATACTTTGGCCATCTCACGAGAAAAGAAGACTCCCTGGAAAAGACCTTGATGCTGGGAAAGTGTGAAGGCAAGAGGAGAAGGGGACAACAGAGGATGAGATGGTTGGCCAGTGTCACTGAACATCAATTTGACCCACTTCAGGAGGCAGTGGAAGACAGGAGGGCCTGGTGTGTTCTGGTTCATGGTGTCACGAAGATTTGGACATAACTAAATGACTAAACAACAACAACAGTATAGATGCGCCCACAGTGACATACTCAATGATTTTGAATAAGTAATCCAACAAAAAAAAATATGTGCCAACAGCAAATATCTTGAATAGAATACGTAAAAAGTCACTTTCCCATAGATGCATGTGGAAACACAGAAATGTGAAACTCCGAAACAAGGAAATACTGACCACTGACAGATACTCTGTCAGGGAGGGACTGGATTCTTTCATTGTTCTTAAAATGAATTAAACCAGATGCCTTTTTCCCCTAGCTGAACTAGATATTCTGGATTTGAGGCAAGACTATGTGGATGAGGAAGACAAAGCAGAGTGATGTCCCAATCTGTCAATGAAATAATGTAGGCTAGTGACTTCCCTATTTTTTATTATTATTATTACTTAGGGAAGATTTCCTAAAGTATTTTATATGTGGTATTTACACAGAGAAGTCACATATTCCCATAAAGGGTCAAGATCATTAGCCGGCCTGAGTAGACATGGTCTAGAGGGGCGGGGTAAAAATCCAATCAATCAATCAACCAACCAACCAACCAACCAACCAACCAACCAACCAACCAACCAACCAACCAACCAACCAACCAACCAACCAACCAACCCAATCAAGCAATCAATCATGGCTCTCTGTGCCTGGAAAACTTTCAGTAAATGGGCAAAACTATATCTGTGCCAAGTATATCCAGTACTATGGTGTTCCCCAAAAGACCCTGGACACTGTACTTTCATAAAACCATACAAAATTTGAGATTAGAATCTTGCAACACATTCTATTTGCCACATGAGGAAATTCTACAATCTTACAGGGAGCGAGAGTGAGAGCGAGCAGATCTCTCTTTTCTCTTCTCTGCTATTCACAGTGAACATCTCTAATTTTCTCTGCAATTTCCCCTCTAGGAAAAATTGGCAGCTTTAGAAGAGCAGAGACAGCTAGCAGCTTTTTCTTTGCCATTGCACTACTCTTATCCTATCCTTTCAAGTTTTCTCTGCCTGTCAGTGGGGAAGCCTTCGCAATGCTCAGCAGGCAAATTTCTCACGCGTTAGGGCATACCTCAAAATGTAACATGGAGCCAAGCTTTTCAAGAACAATACCGGTTTTATAGAGGCTCGTGTAAGGCTGGGTGACTTGCTCATTGGGCACAGGAGCCAATGGCACGACAGTTCCACAACTATTCTCCCTCATCAATGCTTTGAAGTTTTTCTAGGATTTACTATTAGTAAAATTGGGATTACTGTAATTACATGACTGGAGGCGACCCATCGCTCCACCAAGTACGCCTTCAGCTGTTACTACATGCTTCTCAGTTCCTTCACTGAGCAGTTAAAATAAAGAGCAGCCAAAAGCGAAGGCTTCTGTTTTAAGATGAACTAAATATTATAGCCGTAAGGGCCAATCTCCTCTTCCAGAATGCATTAGAGATAGCACAGAGAATATGGATTCATACCCTGTCAGAAGCAGAGGCGAAGTGCTCTAGGACGTGCCCACATAACTTCACTGAACAGGTGAGGTACTTTTGGCCCTTCCCATCACAGGCTTTTCAGGATCACCTCTTTTCATTTATGTTCATGTGAACACAGCTGGAAAGAACAGCACACAAGCGTAAGAGGCTGTGATTACGTTGTGTTAAGTGGAACAGCGCACAGTGAGTTCTTAATACGGAATAGCAAAGTGACCGAAAGAACACAGTAACATGTCAAGTGAGCTGTGCAAGAAGGCAAGCTGAACTTTTCACAAGGAGTTACAGGCAGGGAGCTAACTAAACAAAAACAGTCAGACCCCACCAATAAATAAACCATGGGAAGAGAGAATCAGGAGGCCTAGGTTTTCTAACCCAGGCCATGGGAACAAATGAGAGCAGTAGCATTTGGGAGCTAAGGTGAAAGAAAGGGGAGCTATATAATGTAGGCAAGGAACCAGGCAATGGGGTTCTTGGTTTTACTGGGATTAAAACAAAGAGATCTGGTGGGTTAGAGCAGGAAGATTAGATTCTTGGCAAGGGACCCAGGTGGAATGGGATGCAGGCACCAGTGTAGCTGTTGCAGAAAGCAAATAGCGGGAGGGTGCAGGTTAGATGCTCTGGTGATGGGCACAGAAAGGAGACATAACAGGAAGAAAACAAGAGGACAGCGGTTTAAAGAAAGATGGCGCCCAGAAGAGAGCCGAGAGGGGAACACTAGGCAGCCAGCTAAGGTAGGATTTGGTGGGGTGTGGAAGATGAACGGCTCTAATTTCTTTTCTTCTCCATCTCTTGTCTTTCTCTGAACTCTTTGGCAAAATCTGCATCCCGTCTGGGGATTTCATAAAGTCCAGCTGTGAGGAGAAATGCAAACTAGAGCAGCAGGAGCTTTCGAGGGACATGAAAGTTATCTTTGGTGTGGTCTGGTATACTGTCAATTCCTGGCCACTATCTGGCCCTTCCTTCAGTATCGCATTGTTTCTCCTCAGAAGGTGTGTACAGTGATGCCTCGCAAGACGATTGCTTCGCATGACGATGAATTCGCTTTACGATGAGGTTTTTGGAGCGATCTTGCACTTTGTTTAACAATGTTTCCTATGGGCGATTTTTGCTTTATGATGTTAGGGACCTTGCCTCGCAAGACGGTTAAATTTTATGTCCCTGTTTTTCGCTTTACGGTGTTTTTGACAACCTGGTCTTGCTTTGCTATACGAGTCTTTTAATGGTCTCTGTTTCGTTAGATGGCTGTCTTCGCTTGGGAACCGCGTTTTGCTTAACAATGTTTCCTATGGCAATTTTCTCTTTATCAGGTTTTCAATGCATTTCAATGGCAAATGTGTTTTGCAAGACGATGTTTTTGCTTAACAGCGATTTTTGCGAGGCACCACTGTACTCATTTAACAACCTGCATTATCCACTGTCAGTGTTAAGAAGCAGGCAGGTTCGCAGTATTCTCTGAAGGTAGCCCCTTGCTGTATCCTTTATTTGGTAAAAGGAATGCAAACTAGGGCTGTTGATGGCTAAGCATTTGCGTTTGATAAATTGTCTAACCTTTTGTTCACTGGTTTAAAAAGATATTAATTTTAGTAACCTGGCATATTGTCAAGGCTTTGTTTAGGTGTTTCTATGAGATATTGAAGGAAGTCTGAGGTGCTAACGGAACAAAAGCTAACATTCATTATTAGACACGATTCTATCTTTTTTTCCTTTCCCTATTATACTAACAGAGTAACCTAACCAAACTAGTGTATCCTGAAACAAAAGTTCTTGAGCAAGTACTTGCAGCCTGGCTAGCCCTCAATGACTAATTAACCAACAATGTACTGTAGTGGTTCAATGAGGGCTATCACCCAGTTAAAAGCATATTATGTTGCTTTCCTACTTAATCTGGAATTTGTCCATTGTTGTTTTTTTCTCTGTCCTCCAGGGCTTTCCACCTCCAAACTTAATTTGTCACAGTGGTTTCATGTACTGTATAATGTACTCAGAGTTCTAGCAAATCAAAAACAGGCAGGGCAAACCCTGTTGAGGCTGATCAAGGCTACAGTGCTTTTAAATAGAATTCAGTTCTGCCTCTCATTGCTACCTATTTAGCAGACCTAGGACATTATTGATGAATTGGTCAGTTACTGTTCCACAAGCAAAAGTGAGGGCTTCTATTACTCATTTCTACCCTTTCTTTTTATGTGTGTGTGTGAAATAGCACTATTTCACTTTTAAAAAAATTAAATTTTGCTTCCAACCAATTTTGGAAAAGCAAAGGAATGCTAACATGGAAGTAATGCTAGTTGATTACCGTAATTGTATGTGTTCTAGTTGATTAATTGATTAAAGCTGCATAAACTGGCAAACAGGAGATCCAATTGTTTTAGAAAAAACATATTTTGGACTGTACATATATGTGTGGCAGAAACAGCATCTTTAAAAAGCAGAGCCCCTTTTTATATCATAAAAGAAGGAATGCTTTTTTAGATGGCATTTGCCAAATGCAGTTTTATAAGAAGTTATGTATAAAATGAATACAGTATTAAAAAAATAATATATGCAGAGACCCCTTCTTTATTGATCAGTAATGTTTTATTGGATTTATCTATTTGATTAACCAACTAAACGTTGCAGCCCTGTATTAAAATAATGATATTAAGTAATGTATTAAAATGAATGATTATAGCACTATATAAAGATTATGAGTATGCATTTCCAGAATAAACCTCATTTTGGGAACAGTAAAGGGCAAAAGTGAAAGTTAAATGTAGCAAGATGTTGAGAGGACATAGCTTGATGAATGAACATTTCTATGGCTCTTAGCCTTCACTGATGTTCTAGGAAACCTAGAAATCATGTTGCTCTGCCTATAATCCAATGCGCCTTTTCTTCCCTCTTTCTTTGGACAGACACAAGCATCCTGACAGCAAACTAGCCATCTGTACCCATGACTTCACAGCCAGAAACAGCAATGAACTATCAGTGCTTCAAGCAGACATTTTGGAGGTGAGATGAAGTCCTCAGAGAAACTTGAGTAGATGTTACCAGAGAGTTTGGAACTGTAGGCCTTTGGGAACGACAATTCCTAAAAATGCTCAGCCAGTATAGCTATTGGCTTCTGGGAATTGTAGTTAATAAAAGTACCTTTCCAAGCATGGTAAAGGAATTAGGGCACACAATTGCCTGCTTAGCAGTGCTGAGTCAGAATCTTCCCTGAGAAATCATGGTGAAGGAATTAGGGCACACAATTAATTGCCTGCTTAACAGTGCTGAGTCAGAATCTTCCCTGAGAAACAAGCAGGGCAGTGTTTGTAAATTATAAGTCCCAATATTTTCCTTCCCCCATAGGCCACGGACGAGTCCAAAATAATCAAAGGAATATGCATGAGTTAGAAGTCTACTAAAGACATTGTTACTAAAGACATTGTGTTAGGGACATACATGGTGGCGCTGCGAGTTAAAACCGCAGAAGACTCTGTGCTGCAGGGTCAGAAGACCAGCAGTCGTAAGATCGAATCCACGCGACAGAGTGAGCTCCCATCGCTTGTCCCAGCTCTCGCCAACCTAGCAGTTCAAAAGCATGTAAATGCAAGTAGATAAATAGGTACCACCTTGATAGGAAGGTAATGGCGTTCCATGTCTAGTCGTGCTGGCCGCGTCTAGACAGAAACTGTCTTCAGACAAAACGCTGGCTCTATGGCTTGGAAACAGGGATGAGCACCATACCCTAGAGTCGGACACGACTGGACTAAATGTCATGGGGAACCTTTACCTTTTTAAACACATTGTGGGCTTGTGAACAGTTGTAGAATAATATATTAAGCTGAATCAGAGTTTCTCTTGATGATTCTAAAAGGCTATAAATTCACGCACATGAAAACTTGTGGGAATTTTGTTTCTGCTTTTCAGTGGGCATTTTCCTTTTTCTTTGCCGGTAGGTTTTGGATGACAGCAAGAAATGGTGGAAAGTTCAAAACCGTTATGGTCAAGTGGGCTATGTCCCCTATAATATTCTTAGCCCATTTCAGACTGAAGAGAATTTGAGTACTCAGAACCACAAAAGAAATGGCCAGATTAATGGAATCAGTCCTGTGATTAACAAAGTGAGTGGAACAGCAGTGAAGAAATCTTTTTTATTTATTTATTTTTTTGCTTGCCTGCTTTCTTGCTTCCTTTTTTAAAAATACTGTTTTTCCGATGACATTTCCAAAGACGTTTAACATGAAAATTCATTATGTAATCTGACAAGAATAGCAATGAAAGCAGCCTAAAACAACTGACAAAGGAAGTACTCTAAAATCAGTTATATTTAGCAATAGGGCAATTTTTTAAACTTGCAAATGATGTGGGGGGACATTTTCCTGTTTAAACATATTCGTATCATTAGAATTTGGGGTTAGCTAATGAAATCAAATAACCATACATGCAGATAAAGTTAAATGAGGGCAGTAGGCTAAATCGCAGAGCTATCAACGGCTGTTTTACTGACACGTAGTATTATTATAGTGCTTTTGTGTTTAGGCAAAAGTGCCGTGGCTTATGTCACCAAAATGGCACCACCCAACTGCAAAAAGGTTGGTATGAGCAAAGTGAGGTTTGTAAGTGGGGGGAACGCACCAACCAATTCTGATGGAGAGATGAGTCCTACGTGGGTAGGAATCCCCCCAACGCCCAGTGAGGACTGAAGGTGCTCAGGGGTTGTAGGATGTTGATTGAGGTGACAGAAAGAAACCTGAGTGAATAGAACAATGTAAAGGGAGCATTGTGGAAGAGGACATAGCTGAACAGCTTGGGCAGTAGACAGGCATTTTGTGCTTCAACATTTTGTTGCAGACCCACTTGTGACTTTGATGACCAGGTGTTGGAGATAGACAAAAAGAGGTGGCTGTTGCCTCCATACTCTGTTTATTAGCTTCTCAAAAACTCTTGACTGTTGCTGGGCCAGATGAATTCTTTGGTGTAATCGCAGGAAAGCAAATCTTATGTTTTCATAATGCAAGATCAATGGCCAGAATCCTGTTAGGGACTTACATCAATAAATGGAATTACATAAACTGTGTTGGTGACTTGCCACTAATTAAAAAGTTGCAGCTTGTATTCCTGGCTATGGACCAAATAACACAGCAGGCATGCGACCAGGAAAGGGTTGACAATGCATTAATTAGTGGCAATTTGCCACCACCATTTACATGATTATACTTATCAGATTCAGATTCTTATCTGATTCTTATCAGAGGATGTTGGTTCTAGAAGCTTCCCCTCTTCTAGTCTGAGGCAGCTCAGAAAGATAGAAGGGGGAAAGAAATGGATTTAAAATCAAATATCCACTCCCACTGAAGCAGTTTTTGAATTCAGACTTACAAGTGATGGAAATGTAAGAAGCAAAATCAAAATCGATTTCAGTGTCAATGTATTCTCAAATGCTTTCACGGTGGGGGATCCTAAGGTGGTTGTAGAGAGTTTTAGTGTCACTTGTCAGAAGGATAAGGCTTAAAATTTTGTAGGGTTTTCCCCCTTCCATGTCAAAATCCAACCAGCCTAGAGGATGATGGGAAGTCCATGCAGACACAGTACAGTAACATACTTCTTGTGACTTACCCTACAAGGAGATGGGCTATTCCCAAGGCCAAACTGTTAACTCTGCTTCCTTCCACCTCTCCTTAGAAAACACCACCCCAGCCGCCACCAAAGGTTAAAGGTCTGCTTGCAAATGGCAGACACTGGGCTAGCACGGAGGACCTGAGTGACCGAGGTAAGTCCCTTTTCCTCTACAAGGTTGCAAAGCCATTGAGAGGAGTGTCACTACAAGCTTTGGTCTGGGAGCTGGTCCCGCGATCTGGAACAGACCTCAGCACACAGCAGACAATGTCATTGTTTGGCCTGTTGAATCTTGTGGCTGTGGTAAGGGTCCAAACACAAAGATATTGGATTGGAGAAAGATCAATGGGGAAAGTTCAATGAGCTGATCACGCTTCTACTAGAAAAGGCTTGCGTCTCCTGCTTCTAGAACAGAGCACTCTACGTCCCATATTTTAAATTGTCAAATCCTACTTAGCAACGCAGCGCATATAGTACTTAACTGCAGTACAGTATTTATTTATTTCATTTTTAAAAATTATTTTTACCTTGCTTTTCTCCTTAAAAATAGCCTTTACCCTTTACATTACCTCCTTAAAAGGAATCCAAGGCATCATTACAAGACAGTCATTTTCAGTATTTCAAAGTAGAGCTTGAAAAATGTATTTTGGGGGAATTGTGGGAGCAGTGGTGCCAAAATAGCATTTCCAAGCTGTCAAACTCCTCATTATAGAGTATTGCAGTATTCTCTGGGAGTAATATGGCTGAAGTTTTAAACTACAGAACTAGCCATTTGAGACTGCTCTATTAGACATTAAGGGTGACTTGTCTGCCTGTCTGTGAAAATGCTCACAAGGATCAAGCAATTATTGTCATACATAACATTGCTTCCTCCCTCAACAGAGCGCTTCAACACTGTCAATGAAGAGCTTGCTCTGAGGCTGGCTAATGGAACGGCGAGTCGGGGCAAAAATCTTCACATCCAGCGTACTCCAGACACCAATGTGCCTTTGGAATATGATTCGGATTCCGCTCAAGTCCGGGCCTGGCTAGAAGCCAAAGGGTTCAGCCCATTGTGAGTTTGTTTGTTTATTCAATTTATATCCCGCCCATCTGGTATATTCTACCAGATGTTGACCTTTGTGGCCCTTTAAGATGATTTCTGTGTTAGCAATAAGTCCCAGCATACAGTGGTGCCTCGCACAACGAGCGCCCCGTAGAGCGATGAATTCGCTCTACGGGGACGTTTTTTCAATCGCTAATGCGATCGCAGAGCGACGGCCCCAATGGGCGAAAATCGCAGAGCGAAGGTCGGTAAGCGATTCGCTTACCGACCTTCGCTTTGCGACCCACCAATCAGCTGTTCCACAGCTTCAAAATGGCCTCCGGAAGCCCCAAAATGGCCACGCGCAGCGTTTTCGCACCCTTGTTAAGCGAGGGGAGGGCGCGAAAATGGCTGCCGGCCATAGAGGAAGATCGCTGAACTGTGAGTAAAGGAGCCTTTTGGAACGCATTAAACACTGTTTAATGCGTTCCAATGGGCTTTTCTGTCCCGCTCAGCGATGTTTTCACACAGCGAGGGTTAATCCGGAACGGATTAACCTCGCTGTGCGAGGCAAAAGCATATTTTCCTTGATATCTTTCTGCCAAAGCTGGAGCTAGTGTAGAATAGTGGATAAGAGGTTGGACTAGGAAGCTGGAGGTCTGAGTTCAAATTCTTGCTTGGCCATGGAAACTCACTGGATGGTAACAATGGTAAACACTCCTTGAACATCTCACATACCTCTGAAACTCTGTCACTATCACCATAAATTGGAAGTGACATGACAGCACAACATCATCTACCAAGCCAGTTTCTTGGCTTTCCTGGCTGGCATTAATATTTTAGGATTCATGTGGAACACCAGTCAGTCATCTTACCCAGTTTTCCCAGCCAGCAAGCATCAGACATTTTATGAGAAACTGTTTGATTGGCCAACATATAAAACAGTTGTGGCTTTCCCAAACAACTAGAGGTTGTAGTATTTTGCCATCGGCCCATATTTAGCTGTAAGTTCTAGATTCTGGATTAAGGCTAACTAAATTTGAAACATGGGGCAGCAAACCCATCTTGATTAAGTTACCTAGTTGACCAATAAACACTCCGTGCTAGAGAAAGCAGGCAATAGTGCCCAAGCTCTACAATTATGAGCTGTAGAAGTGGCTTCCTACTCCTTCATTGGCCAACATCAGTGTTTGGAGTCCTTGAGATGCCAGACTATCTGATTGGTTGTTGTTTCCCTACCATAGATTCTAAATGTTGTTTCAGGTTTTCTGCTTCCATATTGTAAACATAATACCTTTATCAGGACCCCCCAAAAGGCACAAAAATCTGTGTAAGGTTTCAGGAAATAAGGTCCCAAAATGTTTTAAAAATGGAGGCGGAGGAAAGTGTGATGATGGCAGTGATTTATTTTCAAAGTCAGTAAAGTCATGCTATTTGCATGTATATTGAATCCCCTGTGTACAGATCAGTGTAAATTAGATCTGTATACAGCGGTGCCTCGCAAGACAATTGCCTCTACAGATCAGTGCAAATTAGATCTGTATACAGTGGTGCCTTGCACGACGATTAATCCGCAAGATTGGTTTTTGCGATCGCTGTGACGCTTCGCAAGACAATGTTTTCTATGGATGATTTTCGCAAGATGACGATTTTCCCCCATTGGAACACATTAAATAGATTTCAATGCATTCCAATGGTGAACTGCGTTTCGCAAGACGATGTTTTCCATGGACGATTTTCGTAAAATGACTATTTTCCCATTGGAATGTATTAAATAGATTTCAATGCATTCCAATGGGGAACTACCTTTCGCAAGACGATGTTTTCACAAGGCGACGTTTTTCGTGGAATGAATTAACACTGTCTTGCAAGGCACCACTGTACTTTGTTTTGTATAAATCAGTTCCATATCTGTTCCACATTTAAAGTTTTATAAGGGTAAATCTCAGAAATCCTCTTTCTTCCTATGACCTATCAATCTACCTGTTGTTGTTGTTTTAAATTCCCTGCAGGACTGTGCAAGCCTTTGGAATTCTAAGTGGAGCTCAGCTCTTTTCCCTGAAGAAGAGTGAGTTTAAAGCTGTCAGCCCTGAGGAAGGAGTTCGAGTCTATAGCCAGGTCACTGTCCAGAAAGCGCTTCTGGAGGTACAGGAAAAGAACAGAACTCTCTCTTAAGAAATGGGAAATTGGTGATGTTTAAAATAGCTCAGTGGTTCAGGTATCTGCCTGTGGAGCCAGAAGCTGGGATTTGGATTCTCTGTGAGTAGAGCCAGCCCATGTGTCTTTGGGCAAGCTGTACACTCCCAGGGCATCCCCAGAAGTAGGGAATGGTAAACCACTTCTGAATACTCTCTACGTGGAAAAGCGTGAAAATGTTTGCCATAATCAGCATTGACTTGCTGGCACATGATTATTATTTATAAAAGCCAAGACTCCCAACTTCCCTTGGAAGTCTAGAGGGCTAGAACAACAATTCAGTGAGGCTGGGAAGGCTAGTTGGGATCAAGCCAGACTGCAACAATTCTGATTTTCCCAAAACATTAGAATTATTTGAGAGATAACAAAAAGGCAATTGGGTGAGTGTGGAATTCTTGACATCAAGACAATAGTTAATATTTATTATTCTATTCCAGGATGCTGGGAAGATATCAGAGCTAGAAGCTGTGATGGAGAAACAAAAAAAGAAACTGGAAGGTTTGAATGGATAGAGGAGCGTTCTTCAAGTTCTGATATGGGAATGCCCTCTGCTGAAGAAATGTTGAACTGCAGGATTATAGGCTCGTCGTGGTCATCGTCATCATCAAATGCAGCCTTGCCTCCTCCCTGCACTCACCCAAATCCAATTTGTACAGGAATGTTTGTTTGAATAGATGTTAAGTAGATATTTTTCACGTCTAATATCTTCTAAAGAAATGTCCCTCTTTGTGTTGCATCTTTAATTCCCCACATTTCCCATTTAACTCTAAGATGCCTTCATTCCCACCTGCATCAAAAGGAGAATGGACATGTGGCACCCTTCTGTCCCTTTACAAGGATGAGTATTTGTAGTGCACTTATTTTCATTCTTTAGTGAGAAATATTCGCCTTTATTGGAATTGCCCATAGGTCTCTCACATGGAAGAAAACATGAAATCCAACATTTTGTATTATCGTCAATATTCAATTATTGAGTTAGATCTGAATTCGCATATTGCTATATATGCCCTTGGATCTTCAGCTGCATTGCATTCTGAATTCTGTAGCCATAAATCTATCTTAAAGCAATCATTTTTGCTTATATGTATATTGCACTGTATCATAGGGGCTGTAGTTCAATTTCTGAATCTATGTCCTCTGGCTGAATTTACAGCTTGCAGGTAATGCAAATTTCAAATGTCTCCAGCAGTCCTTACTAGAGTAAGGATAAAGAAGTTATTGTGAAGGAAGAGATGGGTGCAAAGATAAAGTATCTCAGGAATAACGTTTCCTCCTGCAGAAGTGACACGGGACCCACAGAACAACACTCAACATCAGGCTACCAACTGACAGCTTTATACCTTGTGCTCAGCACAAAAGTGGTAGGGAATATGTGGCCAACCTGGTACATTGTGGTACCACAGCTCCTTGACTCAGGGACTGGAAACCAAGCCCTATGAGGAAAGATTGAAAAATTGGGTGTGTTTAGCCTTGAGAAAAGAAGACGGAGGGCGAGATATAATAATAGCACTTTTTAAACACTTTAAATCCATCATGCCATGAACTTTTGTGGACTTTTAAAGTTTTTGACACTGATACAAGCCTGATGAAATAGCGTTCGATCCATGAAAGCTCGCATATTGTATGATGGTTTTTTAGTGGTCTATTAAGGTGTCACCTATTCTTACATTTGTATTTTACTTGAAAGATCTGTCATGCAGAGGAGAGGCAGGATCTCTTTTTGATCATTCCCAGAGTACAAAACATGTAAAAATGGTCTCAGCTTATAGGAAGCCACATTTTGGTTGAATATCAGGAAAAACCTCCTAACTGTATTCGCGAAGGCTTTCACGGCCGGGATCTAATGGTTGTTGTGGGTTTTTCGGGCTCTTTGGCTGTATTCTGAAGGTTGTTCTTCCTGACGTTTCGCCAGTCTCTGTGGCCGGCATCTTCAGAGGACTGGAGTAGGAACCCACAACAACCAACCTCCTAACTGTTGGAATAAATAGAACCAATTACATTGGGGAGTGCTCCACTGCTGAAGGTGTTCTAGAGAAAATTGGACAGCTTTCTGTCAGATCTACTTTGATTGGGATCCCTGCACTGACCGGGGGGTTGGACTCAACGGCCTTGTAAGCCCTTTCCAACTCTATTATTCTGTGATTCTATGACCCTCACAACCTAAAAGGCTGCATATTCACCACGTGGCACAGGTGAGACTGTTCAGTGATACCACTTTTGGGCACCAGATGGCATGGCAATCTCTGAAACAAACCAAGATTGATGTCCTATTTTTATCTTCCTGCCTTTGTTGCATACTTACAAACATTGCCAGATTTTAATTGTTTGGCCTTTCCATCTCTGGGTGTATGTTTTATAGAACTCTATGAACAGAACTAATTCAGCTGCTCTCAAGAAGTCTTGTGCAAGAAAATGTGGTATTTCTACTTTCTAAAAGTTTGTTTGGAAGCATTGTGATGTTTTCCCATTGTGGTGGATTTGTTTCAGGTAGAATTAGGGTTGGGATTGTGATTAAAGTTAGAAATTTAACTGGTGGATCAATTCCTAACAAATTTTCACACAATTTGCTAAAAAGAAAAGTTGAATAGTTGAGTAACATACAATGCTGTTGAGTGCCATAATTCATAAGCCGTTTCCATTTGAACTTACTGATGTTTAATTTTAAGTAGAATGTTGCCAGCAGTTCTCCCCCAGATTGTTTACCTTAGATTAGTGCCTCAAAATTGTTTTTCCAGAAAAAATTGGCCCAATCATCCAAAGCTGTTCTTCCAAAAGAAATCTATTGTAAAGCAATATTTATTTTAAGCATATTTATGTTAATTTAACATTGGCTTGCACCATTGTTTTATAAGAAACAGAATGATATTTTCATTGTTTTTTTGCCTGCAGGAGCCTACGAAGTTTGAATGTTTCCTTGTAGTGGGGGGTCATTAATTAATGGTCTTTGGGACCAATGTGGTTTTCTGAATAGTTTTAACAATCCTGCAAAGGAGAAAAGAAAAATTTAAAGATCACTCTAAAACATGGAAAATATAGTCTGTATGGAGTCTGTGATAGCCACAATACTTCCATGTGGATTGTATAAGAATCACAAACTAATCTTCCACACTTAATAGCTGTATAAATAAGCCTAAGAACCAATTGTTTTAGCAAACCATATTATAGTGGTGGAACAACTCTTTTTTAAAGTCCTTTAATGCAGTGCTGTTTTAAGGGTCTCTAGCTTTGGATTGTTTTGGAAATCGTTATGATTCAAAGAATCTATGGAAGATAAGATTATTAAAGGGAAAGGCAGGAGGAAAAGAGAAAGATCTAAAATGTGACTTGATTCAATGAAGGAAACCATGGCTTTTAATTTGCAGGACCTGACCAGGACCATTAATAATAGGACTTTTTTGAGACCATTAATTCATAGGATTGGCATACATCAGAAGTGACAGTTATAACAACATTATTAATGCCCCTTAGTTCAGGTCCTTGTATGTTATTTCCAACCATATACAGAGACAGTATGCCTCTGTATATCAGTTATTAGAGAATTGGAAGGGAGGTGCTGATGTACCCTTTATGTCTTGCTTGTGGGTGGCCCATAGCCAACTGTTTGGCCACTGTGGAACAAAACACTGGATTAGCTAAGCTTTTTACCTGTACTACTGTGCATAAACCAAAACCATCTGATTTCAAAAGCTAAGCAAGGTCAGACCTGGTTGGTACTTGGATGAGGGAACATAATCTCCAGCTACGGCTAGGTCAGAATCCTGCCTGCAACCTCAGAGAGCTACCAGCACTGAGAAGCTGACAATACTACATGAGGCAGAAAAAGGACTCAATATCAGGCAACTTTCTATATTCATATGACAAGAGAGTTCACATTACTATGCACATAATAACACTTGCAAATCTGAATGCTGATTTTATTTAACTTTAACTTCCTGAGACGCCCAGATGCTTTTCTGTGGTGGTGATGGGCACATGACGGAAGGTGAATGTGGCCATGGCTTGTAGGCTTGACATCCCTGGGGGAATTGTCATATTTTAAAAATCTGTAAATAAATATATTTAAACCTTAGTCTGCCTTGTCGCATGTTTGCACATATTGTATGCTGTGAAGCAATTAATAATGTGCTTTCCTTTGCACAATCACACACAGATTAAGTTTGATGGGGATTTTTTTTGCCAGCGCAGAAGGTGTGGGATAAGAGGGAAACAGTTGGGTTGCTAATTTAAAATATTTATACAGTATACTGCTGGTCTTTTAAAACCACCCAAAGCAGTTTGGCATCAGGATTAACTGAAAGGATTTGATCTGATACTGTTTGTATAGTTTTTAAACGTTTGTTTAAAAGTAATTGTTAGTAGGTGATGCTATTGGCCTGTATTTACCTTGTATGATGGGAAACAGTTCATTGGAGAGATGGGGCTGTTAAAGCACACTTGGTTTTTAAATCAGGAACCGAACTGTGGCCTCCCACTTCATCCACTATCTCCCAGCATAGCTCAGTGGTTTAGGTATCTGGCTGCAGAGCCAGAGGTGGAGAGTTCGATTCCCCCCAGTGCCTCCTAGGGGAAGAACCAGCCTGTGTCTCCATGGGCAGGCTGCTCAAAATCAGAGCTGACCCCAGAAGAAGGAGAAGGTAAACCACTTCTGAGTATTCTCCACCTGAAAAATCCTGAAAAGGGTTGCCATAAGTCAGAACTGACTTCACAGCAGATGATAATTATTACTAGGGACAGGTCACAGGGCAGAGAGGGAATGTTCCTGCTTTATATGCAAAAGGCTCTAAATTTTATGTCTGGCAACACCATCACACACGTTCCTTAACCAGCACCCAAATTTCCATTTAACGTGGCGTTTTTACAGTTGCTTGGTGACCAGCACTATCTCCACTCTTGGGTCGCTCTCCCTGTGTTCTGCCTGTCCTTTTAGTTTCCTCAGTGGCTCCTCACTCGTGATCAAGACAACCTTCCCCACAAATCTACCCACTTCTGAGAGAGGGCTGTGACTTCGTCAGCCTTCGTTTCTCTCAGATGGCAGATGAACCAAGTTGTTTGTTTGGGATGGGTTGGTTGGAGGGGAGGGATTTTTGTTATTTTGCAACAGGAGTGTTGTGGTGAGCAGTGTTTATGGAACAGATTCTTCTAATTCCTGACAAAAAGGGCCCAGATCGTGTCAGAGCAAGTCTCGGCCTGCTTCGGAGGGCGGCTCCCAGTGTGGGTTGGAGCTGCCAACTACAACAGGCCGGGCAGAGGAAAGGGAGGGAAGGGATGTGTGATTCTGTCGTAACACAACCTGGCACGCTGATATATATACACAGCTGTGTGGCAGTGGGTCCCCAAGAGCCTGGGAGGCATTGCAAAGTGGCCAAAGGTAGCGAGAGGTACATTGCTGAGTGCTTCAGAGGGTACTCACTGTGTTACCGTTTCCCTGGAAATAAGACCTAACCTGAAAATAAGCCCTAGTATGATTTTTCAGGATACTTGTAATATAAGCCCTACCCTAAAAATAATCCCGCTCTCCACCCGTGTGCAGCAACCAGAAGAAGATGACATGACTGTATTTAAATAAATGTAGATTGTTGTACATAAAAATTGAAAATAAGCCCTAATGTGTTTTTTGGAGCAAAAATTAATATAAGACCATGTCTAATTTTTGGGGAAACATGGTAAATTAAGGGTGTTGGGATGGGGTTGGATTATTCAATCCCTCGTGAAAAACTACCAGTCCTGCCCCCAAATTCCGTACATTGCCACACATCCCCACACCCTTCCAGGGACCCGCCTGTTGCTATATGTTTCACAACCATTTGCATTCTCTGTGCAGTCAGAGAGAGAGAGAGAAAAAGCAGCCACACAAGGTGCCAGGAATAGGGTAGGACTGAGAAAGAAAGCCAGCAACCTCATCATTCCATCCTCTGTCTGCCTAAATAGGCATGTGATGTCCCCAGAGGCAGTTGTGCGTCAAGCGTAGCTGCTTGAACTTCAGGACGGTGTTTCTTCTGCATTCTCCTCCCTCTCTGCTCTCTCCTCCAAATTGGCCCACAGAAAATTGCACCTCAAGGAGCAGGGTTCTCGTCTGGTAATCGCTTTGACGCATTTGTTTTCTAAATAGAGGACGTTCTGCTATGCAAGGAAAAATAATCAAAAGCGGGACTCTGCTTTGCCACCTTTATGAAGAGCAGAGGTCTAGAGATAACATGATTGCAAAGAAGAGTCACTTTTGATTAGCTACCGGATCTCATTAAGAGAGAAATCACATCAGGGTTCTCAAGCTATGTGATTCAGGCAGACTTTCACGTCTGAAAAGCCAGATTTGCAAATGGCGTTCATGTTTAGTTCCCAAACACCAATCACAAAACAAAACAAACTCACACACGCAAGATACAGAAGGCGAGAGTAGTGATGATAAATGCTTCCTACAATTAAGGAAGTCCGGCTTTTAATTACAGGTAACATTCGAGATGCTGCTTGGCTAATCCGCACTTACAACTTGTTGCTTGGGTTTGGAGGGAGGCAGAACAATGACCGGTGAGTGCCTCTTTCTCTCTGGGCCTAATTCACACACTCCCAAGGGAGAAGAAGAGACCATCAAAGAGTCTACTTTGTCCAACCAGTCACAGATTACATCTTTGAAGGAAGCAAGAAACAATAGGA